AGCATGTGATTTATTTAAAGGCAAATTAGCAATATGGTGCGTGGCACCACTATCAATAATCCACGGTGCAAAATTAGAACAAGTAGTGGATTTAAAACCTGAAAATGAAAGGGCCGCTGGTTTGAGCAGTTCCATCAATTGGGCCACTTGCTCACTTGAAAGCCCATTTATTGTAGGAGGCTCATTTGTATTTTGAGGCTCAAAATTCCCAAATCGTGATGAAGGAACAGAGTCACGCACGGCAGCCTGGTGCACTGCCGCACGTGACGGAGAGCGAGCTGCCATTGCCGAGCGCGATGAGGACCCAGTTGCCGAACGATTTTTCTTAGTTTTTGATGGCCACCATTCTGGGTAACCAAGGATTTCGAAGCAACTTGCACGGGAATGGCCGGGTTTCCCGCATTCCTCACAATTCGGTGTTCCAACAGGCCAAATTCGACGGGGACGGGTTGAGTTTTGTTGGGGTGTTGAGTGAGTAAGAAAAGCCGACACCTCTAGGCGAGAGACTGGTTGAATCAATCGTTGGGTTTCCTCTTGATGTAGAATCGCGTAGCAACGCCCAATTGAAGGAAGGGGTTCTGTGGCTAGAATTTGTGATCGAAGTTGTTGAAAGCTATCATTCAAGCCCATTAGGAATTGATAGACTCGATCAGATTCCTGAATTTCAGAGAGTGTTTTGCCTGCCCCGCAAGAACATGGGTTGGTCGGTTGTAAGGAAAATAATTCATCCCAAATTTCTTTCAATTTTCCATAGTAGGTGGTGATGGACTGTTGATCTTGGTGGAGGTTGGCCAATTCTCGTTTGAGTCTGAAAATTTTAGTTTTGTTACTCTGTTGAAACCGGGTTTCCAATTCAACCCAAAGATCGTGTGGCGTATCACAGTAGATGAGACTACCTGTGAGAGATCGGTCGATCGAGTGAAGAAGCCAAGACATAATCATATCACAGCATCGATCCCAAAGGAGGGCAGCGGCGGTATCATCTGTTGAACGTTGAATGGTGCCGAGGACGAAACCAAGCTTGTTTTTAGCATTCAGGGCTCGGGTTATAGCACGTCGCCAAGCAGGATAGTTGTCGCCATTGAGGGGTACATCGACGAGGGATTGATTCGGTTGGTCTGAAGATTGTAAGAAGTAAGGGGATGTAGCATCTGTGGAGGATTTTGCAGCAGGGGCTGGATGATTTTCAGCCATGGAGAGGTATGGACGGTCAGACCTTATGCTCTGATACCATGTTAGATTTAGGTATTGGAATGGAAATAATTCTCATTAATATATGATTCACTACATGTTGGTATTTATAATATATGTGAGATTTGCTATTATGGTAAACAGAACTAATCTAGGAATGAAAAGATACAATATATTTGACAGAGGAAATCATATCTCTGATTATGGTAATATATTGTAATAATATGCGCAATTACAACTTTGCCGTTCTGCCCTATTTTCAAAGTGAATGGAGAATATGTATCCCTAAATTGTCAAAGAGTGCACAGTTTTTATCAGTATGGTTACTGTTCCAACATTCAGAAATTGTCTACAAAAAATGTGCAACGTTTGGCATGCACTGTGCAACGGTCAAATAATGCCTACAAATGGCCAAAAATATGCACCAAACGAGCGCATACATATACATCCATTTGCACATGGTTGAAAAAACAAAAAAAAACAGAAAGAAAAATAGAAGAAGACGGAAAGAAAAGAAAAGAAAAGAAAAAAGGAAGAAAGAGAGAAGAAAGTGGAAAAAAAAAAAGGAAAAACAGGAAACTGAGGCAGAGAACGGGAAAGCTGGGAAAAAAAGGAAAGGAAAGAAGGGAAAAAGGAAAAAAGAGGAAAGGAAGAAGAAGAAGCTTGGGTTATCCATTTCTTCAATTTCTCATTTGATTTAGAGAGGTAAGTATAAATATGTTGAATTATTATTATTTTTTTGGGATTTATGAAAATTTGCTTCAATTTAAAGTTAAGCAAGAAGTATGTGTTATTGATATGTATTTGAGCATGAAGCCTGAGTTGAAACTGGTGACTATGAAGGTTATCTGCCTAATACTAAAGCCACAGGGCTTGGCCACACCGCTGCTATGTTGGACAGGAGTGAACATAAGCATTTTGTGATGTAAATTCTCTTTCCCTGGTTATGTACGATGTGTATTGCATGAAGTTGTTGAGTTATTTTTTCCTTTTCCTTTTTTCGAGTTTAAACAAACTAAGAATTGGGTTCATCTCTTGGCGACTTCACACATTTGAATATGAGTACTTGGTTGAATCTCAAAAAGTAGTTAACACTAATCAAATTACTGTGTAATGTATCTGTAATCAAAATTTTAAAACATTTAAAGGTAGTTTATTATTATCATCTCAAGTTGTTGGATTTTTTACCTTCCTTTTGTGTACTATCAAAGCCTATGGTAGATTTTATTTATAATCACTTCTCAAGATATATGTGGTGGAAAATTGATAATTGCAAATTTGTTAACCACGATGAAGAGCTTGACACTTATGTTTGAATAAGTGATAAATTGAGTCAGCTTAGGCTCTTTATGGAGTTTTTGATGGGTTATCCTCTGAATGAAGAACCTTTATGCGATTATTTTTTATTTTCAGATTGAGGGATTATATCTTTCTCAAAATTCTTTATCTTAAAATAAAGAAATCAATTTTGGTTATTAAGAGAGATTCATAGGACAATCCTCTTGTTGAACTTATTTTGGATGAAGGATAGTACATGTCGAGAATCAATATTGTTTGCTCCAAGATTACCTGAGTTTGTAGTTTGGTTGTGTAAAATTAAACCATTCACCTACTCCAAGGTGATTATATTGTCATAAATTAAAAAGTGTAATGTAAACTAAAAATATGATAGGGTATAACAATTGATTTTGCACCCTTCTTTTGTAGGAAAGATACATGATTAGTACAATCCACTATACTGATGATATTGTAATGTTGGCTATTAGTATTATACAGAGACGATATTGATATTATAAGCATATTTGAAGCAAACAATGTATCCTTTTAAAGTTGTATGATGAATGGTTAACGTCCATCGAGGGCAAAATTTAAATACGAATTTAATATTCAACCAATAACACGTTAGTGTTGAAAATAAAACATTGTTTACAATTGTCGTCTCAAAACAAAATGAATAAAAATGGAGATTTTCGTTGAAAAGTATCTTTCAGTATTTTGTTACGGATCGAATAGAGAAAATTTAACAAATTTTGTATTAAAATATTGTCTCACAAGTCACAATAACTTCAAAAAATCACGAACTTAGCAGTAGGTGAAGTTTCTATGAATTTGCATTAGACAATCCAATCCTTAAAAGCCCAGAAAACACGTTCTCTCGTCGAGTTTCATAAAATGAATAGTCAGGTAGATAACGTGATTCCTACGGCGAAGAAATTTTACGGCAAGTGCCAACGAAACGACGGCGTACGGGTGAAGGTAAAGAAACCCGACTTTTTTGACATCACAAAATTTAGTTTTCTTTCTTTAGTGAATTATCCAATTTAACAATTAATCAACTATTTTGACACGTAAAAATTGTGTTTATATACTTCAATAGCTCGATTACACCAACAATGTATCGAAAGCACAAGTATGCATTGATGTCCACTTCGTACAAAAAAATCAACGCCATAAGAAGCTCCCGCAAGAAAATTGTTGCCAATTGGGAAAGATTATTGAGTTATTGTTTGGTAAAGATTTTTTTGAGAATAGATTTTGTAGGAAGCGATTTTATTAGAGAATCTGTAGTTAAAAAGTAGTATTGAAATAAGGACTAAATCTTGTGCCAAAATGGCTATTGTTGACCGAACCTGAAACTTCGATTATTAGTTTAAATAAAATGTAATTAAAATGAAGAGGGTGTTTGGTAGAGATTAAAATCGGATTAAAATTGAAAAATTAGTCGTTATTGTTGACTTTTATTAGATGAGTGGGACCCAATAACGACTATATTTTTAATTTTAATTGGATTTTAAGTCGTATCATACAGACCCTAAGCATGATCAAAGTTTTGTGATCTATTCTCTAGTGTTGTTTTAACCCTTTTCATGTGAATTCTTTAAAATGCAGCAATTGTTGCACATCATGTTTATTGGTAAGGAATTGTAATGGTGCGCATGTGACCGTTGTCTAGTAATATTTTATACATTTTTATGTTCCGTTGTGCTAACGGTGCATGACTCATGAAATATGCGAACGCGCAAATGCGCAGAAAACGCAACTGAGTCTTGACATTTAGCCCCAGTTTGAGTTACATTATTTTTTTCATTTTCATTATTTTAGTTATTTTCAACTACACATTTTTCAATAAAATAATATTTTCCATCACATCGACAACATTTCTTTCTTTTTCAACCACATATTTCCCATCACATAACAAAAATACATTCTTGGAACAAAAATGTGTACCAAACAGAGGCTCAATAAACAACATTGCTCTACTAAGTCGATGGTGGTGTGGTCGCGATGGTTGAAGGGGGTAAAAGTACGTTAGATAAGAAGTACATGATTCCATTAATATCAATGATTTGAGAAGTCCTCGACACGGTAAATTTGATAGGCATTGCGAATATAGTGATACGAGTTGCGCTAAATAACATTACTAAATTAGCATTATAATGAATTAGACATTTTACCAAATCGAGGATAAATTGTAGCACATGTTTAGTACAGTTTCTTTAATATTTCCTCCCAAATTCATTTTTAATTATGCATATTCTCAACAAAATATTTTTGCTCGCGAACTCATAAATTTTTCATATTTCTTAACCACAAGTTCTCCAAAAAAATTAAATTATCTTAAAATCAGTTCTACAAATGTTAACATCAAAACATGCCCTTAAGTTTTTCATAAAAAACTCATAAAATTTTAAATTACATATAAAAAAATTCTTTTAATTATATATTAAACTTCAAATCCCAAATAAGCAAAGAAAAACCAGGACCAGCAAATGATAAGTAATTTGTTCCTACAAGAAATTTTGAAATTATCATTTTTGTTGCGCCATCATACGAGTGAAGTCCTCGAAGCAGACGAACCCGTCTCCATTCCGGTCTACGCCTCTTATCATGCGGCGGCAGTCCTCTAACGAGGACCGCGCGTCCCCTATTGTTCTGAAAACGTTGTAAAGCTCCTCCGCCGTTATCTTCCCGTCACCGTTAGAGTCAAAGAAATCAAAAGCGTTCCTCAGCTCCGTGTTGCAAGCCGGTGGCCCAAAAGCCGAGCCGATGGCATTAAAGTCCTCCAAGCTAATACACCCATCCCCGTCCCTATCCACATCGCTCAGCATCATCTTCAGCTCCTCCTGGCTCGGTGTCTCAGGACCCACCAGGCTGAGCAGCGCCTCCAATTCCTCCTTCATTATCTTCCCGCTGCCATCTCTGTTAAACCACGTAGATAAATACAAAAAACAATAATCAACATATGAAGATTTGGAGCATTGGACTATCAGTTTCAAGTTTCAACACCTAACGTATAAGAATTTACCTGTCTATCATTTCGAACGCCTGTTTAAGTTCAAAGTACACATCGGCAGAGATTTCGGACCATTCGTCGGCTGATATTTCAGAGGATAACGAGGGGAGTACGCTGGTCGGCGTGGCTAGACCATTGGCCTTCTTGAAGCCGGTTTGCGTGTCATCTTCCGAAGACGTCGTCGTTTGAGAGCTGAAGGATGAAGACGGATAGGTTTCGGATTTGGAAACGGATCGGGATTTCTTGGAGTTGAAGAGGTTTTTGGGGATAATTTTGACGAGCTTCATGGTGGGAAAGGAGGAGAGATTAGAGAGAGAAATGGGGTTGGAGGAGAAAGAGGGAAGAAGAAGGGAGAGTTAAATGGAATGGAGGGAGAGAATCGAGTGCCATAGTGAGCTGAACTGAGCTTCGAGGAAGTTTCGTTTGTAGAAATTAGAGAGAGAGAAAATGAGCTTTTATAGGAGAGAGGAAATTGTTCTCCCGTAATTGTAGTAGAAGTACCATTTGTGCTATTTGCCGTTGGCTTGAGCTGACATGTAAGTTTGAAGCACATTTGATCATGATTACCTTGGCTACGAGATTGTGAGAAAAATGTATTTTGAATAATAATTTTTAAAAAAAATATGTAATTAAAAAGTAAGAAAACGGTGATATAATATTTTATTATAAAATATGTGATTAAAATGAATTTTGAAAAAATATATTTTTTATTTAATGAAGTTCAAACATGGGCTATGTTAACAATGTTACTATAAAAGAATGACGTAACAACGTTAAAACTCATCATGGCAAACCCACCATTAATAAAATTGCCACGTGGACGAAATAGCCCTCCAAGACAAATCCTCCGACCCTATAAAACGATTCATTCTTTCATTTAAGCCCCAAGCTTCAGTCCCAAATCAATCCTACGATATATGAACCCTAAATCACATCTCCTTCTCTAAAGAAATTTCTAACGGAGTGTTACATGTAATCTCTAGTTTGATGAGTGAAATAATGAGCTGTTGACGATCTAAACGTTAGAACTCGTGACTTCACCATAATTTTTCGAGTTTACTTGTCATATCACATTTTGAGATCACAAATACTTAAACACGAGAATTTACAATATCTTCATATAAATTACTAAACAATTAACAATCAAGAAAATCATAAATGGATTGCACAAACCATATATGTATATTTCTATATCTTTTTCTAAATCCATGATCTCTATTGCAACAACTAAACGTGTATTTTCATCTCCTGGATTCAAAATACAATTCAGAACTCCTTCATATAATAGCCAGATAGATGAAAACAATATGAACAAAGACAAGAATTTCTTACTAACTCATGTTCAGGGCGTGTTCAAATCAGATTAAAATCGAAAAACTAGCAGTTATTGTTGACTTTTATTTGACGAGTGAGACTCAATAACTGCTATATTTTCAATTTTAATTGGATTATAAGCACAATTGAACATGCCCTTAATGTCAAAATGTAATAATTGAAATTAAATCACTCGAATAAAGTTTTATACATTCTCACGAAAATAATTCTTCGTCCCAAGCATGAAATAGAAATAGACACAATGGTTGATAGATTGAAAAAGTGCAATTAATGTTTGACTATTTATTGTCCATTCCTTTTTTTCTATCTAGTATTTTCCTTCAACTGCACTTCCAACCAATTGTTGTTTCATTATTGAAATTTAAGTGTCACAAGAAACTTTAGTTGCAATAAATAAACCCGTGATCGGTTCACAAGGTCGGATAGAATCGCCACAATTATATCAATGGTACTAAGCACCAGTCTATTTAGCTATGAAACCCCTGCAACAAACATACTTGGCTAAGATTTAACAAAAAAATGTAGAAGTTATGTTCCGTACGTGATTTATTATATTAATTTCCCAACTTTGAAGTGAAGAAATTATATATAAGTAGCCCTTTCAGCACAAAAGCTTCTTTTCTTTTGTGGGGTGGGGGTGTGGACAGTCATGAAATTATGTTTACTTATTTACAAGTGAATAAAGAGTGTCATCAATAACATTGTCACCTCTGTCTGCTAATTATGAACTCATGTTTAACTATGGCAACAAGTTTTACAAAATTCTGATTTTTTTGCATATAACAAACAAGCAGAAAAGTTATTTATGCTTCAATGATCTACAACATGCTTATCACAACCATCAACAACCCGGAAATTATCATCGTGGTCACAAACGGATTCAGCTTCATCTACGCGAATTTCTTCTCTATCATCGTCGCCATATTCGGATACTGAGCTAGCATCCGTTTCTTTTTCGGGACAATCTAGTTGCACACAATCGGGGACTAATTCATGGGGAGAGCTATTGTTTTCCGAATCATGACTCCTGTTTGATGGCGTTAAGGCTTCCTTCCTTACGACGTTGAACACTATACCGTTTTGAATTCTTTCCGGCTGCAAAAAGTCACCTTCGGCCACCATAATGCTAGCACTGCTCATGGAAGATCTATTACTGTTCTCTCTCTGATCGAATTCCGTGTCTGATGTTCTATCTGGTGTTGTAACCCTTGAGCCTTGATGGATTTGATCCCGGCCAGCCACTGGGATTACGAGATTGTTTAGGTGACCCGTCATTCCTCTGTTCATTCTGGAATCGATCTCCAGATTTTGTACAAAGTCAATGAATTTGTCTGCTGAAGTCGTCCTCATCAAGGGACCACCAGATCTGGTCCAAGAGTTGTGATCAACGCTCTCTGATTCACTATCGCTTCCATCGTGTGTGTTTCGGTGTGTGCGCAAGTTTCGGCTGGTATGCCCAGTAGACCCACCAACAGTTTGCTGAAAAGACGACGCAACATCTGCAAGTAGATCTTCTTCCAGGGAACCCGTCGAGTTCTCTCGTGCAATGACATTCCAAGACGGAATCCTTTTGGAGGCATTGAATCTGACTGTGCTCGACAGACCGTGAGAAGCAGCTGCTGCTCTCTCGGCACTCCTCTTTAATCTACGCATGTGGTTGAGTATTGCAACACACTCATCAAGAGCAAGTTCAATTCCACAATTCGCTTTTATGGCCGAAAGCTTCTCCCATGTGCATCTTCTGCCTTGGTTTGCTGCCTTCTGAAGCTCCAAATAAGATGGATTTTGTATGATTTTTGAGTACTGAAATTACAAACAAATAATTGGACAAAGAATTAGCTCATCAAGACATCAAATCTTATCCCAGATAGGAAAACGAATACAGTAAACGGGAATTATATTATTCCATGGATCTGTTTAGAACTGTTCATTAAAGATGCAAATTTTAAAACTGAATGGAATTGGTTATTAACAATGTTTTGACTAGGGTCTATGAACTCATACGAGGTTCAGATCGAACGAGTTTTCCATTCCTAGGTTGCAGCACATTCAACTGTAATACAAATGAAGACTTCACATAATTATAATTTTGACCCGATAAATTATTAAAATTTCATGCTATACTATATACCTGAGCAAGAGTGGCAGGCATTACGACAGTCACATCGCCCTCCCAGTCCTGAGCAAATAGCTTGGCCAATCCTCCCAATGGAAAACCGAGTTCCAATATCTGGTTGAATCTGTGCTTCACCTCCATCTCCGTTAGTTGAGCAAGCTGCATAGTTGAAACAATTTGAGCTATCATTTCTTAAAGTTATTGTTTCATTCACTTGAAAGTTGAAACATAATGGTAACAGGTGCATCAAGACAAGATGCAGGAGACAGAAATACAAGCAAATATAAAATTTCCCTCTCTAGTCGGGTGTGTAGGCACAGTTAAAAACTGACACAGAACATGCATACTTAAGTCCATGTTTACTACACGGAATTGGACAGACCGATAATATAGCCCCTCTCTGGTTTAGCTTAAAAAGTTGATAAAAATCTAAGTCAAAGTCAAACAATTATATTAATCAAACATTTCATGGGACCCACAACATTTCAATCATACATTTCTTCAACTTTCATCAAAATCTACTAAAAACGTGATTTTTCCAATGGAAATAATGTTCAATTTTCTAGCTTCTTTTTCTTCCTTAATACTATCCGGTGCAAACCTCCTTAGCAAACATTCCGTACATTACTTTGTTGCAAACTAAGCCAGTTCAATGCTACAAACGATCTCCCATGAGGAAATTTAAAGAAAAAGAAGTAAACCGATTTTAGGTCATTTGACTACGTAAAGATGCTGCCTGTTATACATAATCAAATTACTTAAAAGTGAAAGTGCTATCAAGCAACAACGCTGGTCAAGAAAATCTTAAAATTATTCAATACCGACTGCTTCAATAAATACAGATTCAAGAACCTCTGTAACGAATCAAGGGCAAGACAAGATGATATTAGCTCAAACACAACTGAGTCACTTCCATCATGGGAGGTTTATCAAGAAGTTACATTTGGTATAATATACTAAGAATTAACAAATCGAGGGCCATTAACATCAAAAGACACAAATATATAAGTCGACTGAAACATACCTTTGCAGCAAAGTTGCCCCCGTAAGCTCTGACAAACTCTTTCACCCTCAGTAGAGGAGCAATATGAGGATTTGCCTGACTCACAATGAAATGATTTACATTGAAGAGCTCCTTTAATTGCATCATGGGTAGATCAATCTCCAAACTACCATCCCTCCACCGACGTGTAGATGCGCCTGAAGCCTGTTCAGGTCCCAAATGAAAAGGCGGATGGTAAGGAACAATTTCTCCAGTTCTATCCTTCGCCATGAGCTCTTGTGCTTCAAAAAGACCCGGAAATGCACAAGAAGCAGTCACAGCACTCCATATAACAACATGAGGTGAAGTCAAGTAGTTGAGGCATCTCGGCGGTTCATGCTTCCTCGGGGAGCAAACCGTAATCCCAAGGATTCGCCCAGTCATATCATATGCTTCCTGGAAAGTTAAATTATTCGTCAGATGCCTCAACATCATCTGCAAATGTCTAATCTCATGAAGAGCACCCTGTGTCATGACCCTCTTAAAAACAGTAAAAATTCCACCCATTTGATCGAAAAATTGTATAGAGTGCCAAGAATCCTCAAAAAAGCTTTGAAGCTCAGGCCAAGACCTAGTTGCAACGACAGAGCACATTACTGACCCCACACTAGATCCAGCAATTATCCGAGGCAAAAGTTTATGCTCGACCAAGGTTTTCACCACACCCACATGAAAAGCTCCAAGAGAAGCACCCCCACTTAAAAGCAATGCCGTCCTGCCAAAGGCATGTCTCGTTTCATGCATAAAAGCAAGCTTTTCCTCCAGCAGAAGCTCCTCTGAGTCAGAATCACATACCATTCTCAATTGGGTCGTGACCTCGTCTATATACTCCTTTATGAGTTTGGGCACATGGAGCCTTCCCTTGTGAAGCTCGGGATTGCACATGTTGCCAAGATTTCTGATAAGATCAGCTCTCATACAGAATATAATATCTCTAAGAGAACACTCCTGGCGACGATGCTTAAGCTCCTGAAGTTTATTCCTAACAAGTTCCTCGTCGTAAAGATTGGCTTCATTCATCTTAGGGGTTTCCCTATCCAGCATTTTCGCAGCATGAGCCCATTCCTCATAAGTTAACGCAGTTCTCATCATATTCCTCCAAAACTTCCTCCTATATGCCATCTCGGCCCTCATCTTAACATTCGTGTAACGTCTCAACAGGAAAGCAATCACTGTCACCATAACTAATATCCCTTGTGGATTTCGAGGATGAAACCATGATATCACAGGCTTCAACCAGTCCCTCAAAGAATTCTTAAATTTATGATAGTACATTAACAACATCCCAAAAATTTGATGCCTCAAATGTGACATGGACTTGCAGAATAAGACTCTAAAAGCAATGGTCCGACCAAAAAGAGTAGAAGGTCCAATTGAGAATGGATCAACACTAGCCTCATTACTTATATCCATAGCTTCAAACTAATGTTCGTAAACCACAAATTGGAATTTTGGGTGTTCAAATATGTAACCTTTTCCTAGTTAAGGAACTGCACTTTTTCTAAGATGAAATCAACAAATTTCAGGGATTTTCTCTGCAATTCGATATAGAAATTTTAGGGAAATCTACAAAGAAAATAATCAGAAATTGAAACAGAAGACAAAGAAAGAGATTTCCAAACCTCTTTAATTGAAGAATTAGCGATGAATTCGAGTGAAATTCTGCTCAGAACATCCAAAGCCACACAGATCAACAGCCCAAACGATCCTCCAAACAATATGAAGAAACCCAAAAATAAAATAAGAGAAAACTGCCCCAAATTTTACCTCGGATTCTGTGATAAAAATAACCAATTAATCAACGATCACCAGATCAATCCTCAAACTATTTAACAACCATTCAGAAACAAGAAACGCCAGAAATTTCTTAGCATACAATTTCCTCAAAGAAAGAAAAATAAGCACGCAGCAGTTGAATAATTGAATGCGTATGGCTAAGCCAACAAGGAACTATAAATGAATTGCATAGCATAGGGATCCGTAAAAGTCCGAATTTGGATCAGATCAGATAACGATATCTTCTTCCAGTCACAACTGACATTTTCTACAATCAGCTACGCATATATATAGAAATACACACATGCGCATGTAAATACAATATTTATTTTGTCAGAGAGAAAGGGAGAGGATAAGGAAGCCAAGACTTCGTTTTTTGGATTCTCCCTCTTTCTCTCTCCGTTTCTTGGATAGATGTAATGAATTGATTTGAGTATACGCATTTATCACTGAGCCTATGTCTGGGCGACATTAAAATTTTCGTTCTCATTTTTAACCATATATTTTTCAATAAAATAATATTTTTCATCACATTAATAACTTTTCTTTCTTTTTCAACCACACATTCTTCATCACATCACTTCAAAAAAATGCATTCTCTCATTTTAATGTGTACCAAACGGGCTCTGAAATAAGAAGTTTGGTGTTACGTTACCCCACTTCTACAACCATTTGAATGAGTTGTTTTGGGATTACCATATATTTTTCAATAAAATAATATTTTTCATCACATTAATAACTTTTCTTTCTTTTTCAACCACACATTCTTCATCACATCACTTCAAAAAAATGCATTCTCTCATTTTAATGTGTACCAAACGGGCTCTGAAATAAGAAGTTTGGTGTTACGTTACCCCACTTCTACAACCATTTGAATGAGTTGTTTTGGGAAAAATGAGTTTTAGAATGGTCAATTTTTGTTAGAAGAAAAAAATTAGGCTCTCGTTTGATCTACATTATTATCTCATTAAAATTAAAAATATGATCGTTATTCATCACATCAATATTTAAATTTAAATTTTCTATCTCTTGTGTGGGCACCAGTAACGGCTATATTTTTCATTCTCATTCTATAATAATTTAGCTCAAATAAAGTCTAGATTTACGTATAAAATATTTTTGTTACGAGGATGTATGGTTAAAAATAATTTTGAAAAAAAATAAATTTATTTTAATAATTGTCAAACAAGTGTATTGTATGTAGAATAACGTAGAAGCGAAAGAAAAAAGCAAATTATGATTACTTTTTTGTCTAAGCTTACAAAGATATTAAAATTATTTTTTAACTTCTAATTAATTTTTTTTTTAAAAAAACTTCTTGTTGATAAATATGTTTGGATAACTATTTTTCTCTTATTTTTAAGCGAAAAAATTACATTTTTAAACAAGTAATTACACGTTATTATCAAGATAAATAAGTTACTTATTTAAAATGTTAATCGATAAAAAAATATTTATTTTAAAACTTCTTATTTCCATATAAATAAATTCATTTATATATTCAGAAAAAAAAAATCACTTATAAAAATTATACTTTAAGCCCTTATTTGGTACACATCATTTTCAAAATATATTTTTCTCTCTCATTTTCAATTGCACGTGTTTCGATAAAATAATATTATTTACAAACTAAAAATTATTCCTCAAAAAAATTGCTATCATTCTGATAAAAGCTTCAATTCAATACCATTTCATTGAAAACAAATATTGTTCTTACGATCTACAAGAGTTTCGTATACAATTCATAATATAGGAGAGTAAAATCATATATTTACGAGGGTAAATATAGATTTTAGACATCAAACTATAATATTTATGAAACATTAGAGAAAGAATATGACTCATTACAACTAAAAACCCGATCGAGGAAAAAGAATATATTATTTTTTTGAATACATTACGAAAGTTGAATTATTAAAAATTTTGCCATAAAAAAATCAACTGGGATAAACTTTGGTCAAGGAAAAATTTATTATTAAAAATTTAATCCGTTCGTCGGGAATAAATTTTATTTTTCCTAAATCTTTAATATGGATTCCTTTAAATGTAATCTATTGTATTTGGAAGCTGTTCAAGAGTTTCAATAATATTTAAATCACAAAAATAATAATGACAAATTCATATATTCCACGTTCAACAACAATAAATTCATCGTCACCTAAATTGATGATGATCAACACTAATGATGGTAGATTAGCATTACTCTTTCTTCAAATATGATTTTCTATTTCATGTTCATAAAAAATTGCATTATTTATCTGTAGTGTGTTAGTAGATTTTTTCCTTTGTAGTGACTTCCTTCAACGTTTATCATTCTTAGCTTTTCTCTAATGCTTTTACCATGGGGTAGGTGATAAGTGTATTTTATACATTTATTTGGATCTAAAAATATAGGCATTTAATAGTTTTTTTAAACAACTATAGCTTAATTTATTATATATTTCGTTTATTAGGTGACACTCGATGAAATGACGTTGAATTGAAGGAAAGAAGATAATATTGGGGAAAAGGGGCAAGATTCAAAGTTTAGTGACTAAAGTGTAAATACTCAAAAGTTATGTCGAATCTCACGATGAAGATTCAAGAATACTAAGTGTCAATTAGATACAATTAGAAGTTTAAAAAAAAGAGTGAAGTATGATCAAAATATGGATACAAATCAATTTTCAACCGCACACGTATGTTCTAGATTTTTAGTTCAAGATTGAAATCCATTTTTGACCTAGTAAACTTTCTAATTTGGAAAAGCTATTTAAGTAAAGTTATAGTTCTTTGAGTTATCTTTACAACCCAATTTAATCGCCTTAATCGGATATTGTGAGAGAAAGTTATGCTAAAATACTAAAAGAAGTGCAGTGTAGATTTTAACCTAAAAGGTTGTGCCGCAGGGTCACCAAATTCCACATTTGAGAGTCGCGGCGCCACTCCTATGGATGTATCTAGGGCTCATTTTTTACCCATTTTGAAACCCATAAAGACACTACATTCGACACAAACGTAGGAAGAAATATAAATACAAGTTTTTGATACTTTTGATAGGCTTCACACAATTTGGGGGAGAAACACGATATTCAGATTCATTGGTCCATTTTATTACTGGTTATTATCATTAAACTTGTGAGATATAAAAATCGACAACAAATTTTTGACGCAATTGCTAGGAACTATTTTTATTTAATATTGATTTTAATTATTTCTTGCTTTTATTTGATTTTTTTTTCTTTCTTTTTTTTCCAATTGATTTACCTTTTTTTTTTTT